CCCACACGACTGACCATGGTTCAAGTCCTGGATCCGGCAGCTTGAAAAATCACACCAGGCACATGTACATGCATGCCCAAAATCCCAGGAGGAGAATGGAGGAGAAAGAATTGCAGCAGTGCCCATCCTCCCCAGGGGGTGATTTCTCACTTCCCCTCTCACTGTCTCTGTCTCTGGCAAACACACATGCCCTACGGCAAAAACCTTAAATACCAGGAGCTCCTCCAGTGTGACGAGATTCCAATCCAAAGAGAGATGCATGGGACTAAGAAAAGGTCCTCTAATGTGGAATAAAGCTCAGCTGGAATGTGGGCAGACTTGCCCGCTCAGTGAATTGCTATTTCTGGGGGGCTTCTCCCCAAGTGCATATAATGAATCCAGTTAAACTAAACATGCATATCTCACAACGCCCCAAAAGACTTCTTAGTGAGATAAGAACACATTATCACCTTCTCCTTTTCATATCATTCTACCAGAGCCCAGCTTTCCTTAAGCTATAGTGAATACATTTAACATGAAACTTATCATGTTAACCAGTTGTAAGTATACAGTCCAGTGGCATTAGGTGCATTCCCACTGCTGTGCAATGATCACCACCATCCATTTCCAGGACCCTTTATCTTGCAAAACAGAAAGTTTTTTTTTTTTGAGAGGTTTTTGCTATAGGGCGTGTGCGCTTGCCAGACAGACAGAGAGAGACAGAGAAAGAGAAAGTGAGAAATCATCCCCCATGCCACAATCCCTTCTCCTCCATTCTCCTCTCGGGATCTTGGGCACGCACACACACGCACCTGGCTGAGTTTTAAGCGACCGGGTCCGGGACGCAAACCGCGGTTGACTACATGGGAGTCCAGTGACATAGCCATTATGCTAACTACTGGTCCCATTGATTGTAATTATTTTTAATAACTTACAACATGTCCTGTTTGGAGTATGGCGAGGTATTTAAGTGAATATATACATACGTGTGCATACATACATGTGAATATTCACAAAATGATTTTTATAAAGTACATTGTCTATTTACATCTTATTATTCTGTCATTAGATAAATGCCTTGAGGGGAGAGGACAAGATTGCCCTTTCCCAGTGTATCTCCAGGGCAAGCTTAGAGGCCTTCTCTGCCCTTCCTTTGTGCATCACAAAAAGTAACTGATTTGTGTTTGGGGGCCTTCTTGTATGAAAACAATTAAAATTGTTAAAATACCAGGAGCCAGGTCAGTAGGTGGTATAGTGGTTACAATGCTGGATTCCCACACGACTGACCATGGTTCAAGTCCTGGATCCGGCAGCTTGAAAAATCACACCAGGCACATGTACATGCATGCCCAAAATCCCAGGAGGAGAATGGAGGAGAAAGAATTGCAGCAGTGCCCATCCTCCCCAGGGGGTGATTTCTCACTTCCCCTCTCACTGTCTCTGTCTCTGGCAAACACACATGCCCTACGGCAAAAACCTTAAATACCAGGAGCTCCTCCAGTGTGACGAGATTCCAATCCAAAGAGAGATGCATGGGACTAAGAAAAGGTCCTCTAATGTGGAATAAAGCTCAGCTGGAATGTGGGCAGACTTGCCCGCTCAGTGAATTGCTATTTCTGGGGGGCTTCTCCCCAAGTGCATATAATGAATCCAGTTAAACTAAACATGCATATCTCACAACGCCCCAAAAGACTTCTTAGTGAGATAAGAACACATTATCACCTTCTCCTTTTCATATCATTCTACCAGAGCCCAGCTTTCCTTAAGCTATAGTGAATACATTTAACATGAAACTTATCATGTTAACCAGTTGTAAGTATACAGTCCAGTGGCATTAGGTGCATTCCCACTGCTGTGCAATGATCACCACCATCCATTTCCAGGACCCTTTATCTTGCAAAACAGAAAGTCTATACCCATGAAACGTGGACTTCCCTTCGTCTCTAAGTATCCCACATAAGTGGAATCACAGGGTAGCTGTCTTTTTATGACTAGATTATTTTATTCAGTGTAATGTCCTCATCCCTGTTGTGGTATGTGACAGGATTTTCTTTTGTTAAAAGTATATTAGCCTGGGAAAGCCAATGTATTCCTGCTCTAGTTTCCATAAGCTAACCAAGACCTCACATAGAAATCTGGTTCCTTAGTAAGTAGCTAAGTTTCAGCAAATCACAGCAGCTACACTTCAGTCAATCACAGACAGCCTGCCTTCTTTTTTTTTTTTTAAGTTTTTTTAATTTTTTTTTTTTTTTTTTTTTTTTTTTTTTTTTTTTTTTTTTTGCCAGCCATAGTGTGTGTGTGTTCACCAAAGAGACAGCGAACAGAAGACAGAGAGATGGAAAGTGAGAAATCACCCCTGAGGGAGGATGGCGATGCCATAATCCCTTCTCCATTCTCCTCTCGGGATTTTGGGTATGCATTCACACACACCTAGCGTGATTTTCAACTCACCAGGTTCAGAACTCGAACTGTGGTTAGCTATGCGGAGGTCCAGGACCTCAACCACCACGCCATCTGCTGGCCCCTGAAGTTTTCCTGTTAGTGCTTTCATATTAAGGCTGAATAAGTTTCCGCTGTATGTATACACTCCATTTTGTTTATCTATTAATCCACTGATGGACATTTGCATTGCTTTCACCTTTTGGCTATTATAGATAATACTCAAATGGACATGGATACACAAGCATCTTTTTATGTCTCTGCTTTTAATTCCTTTTATTAAATTTATTTTTATTTTATTTCACAAGTGAGAGAGACACAGACAGAGACAGAGAAAAACAAGTCAGGCCCACATGCACATGTGCCCAAAATCCCAAAAGGAGAAATGGAGAAAGGATTACTACATGACCATTCCCTATAAGGGGTGCTTTCTCACTTTCTCTCTCTCTCTCTGTTTCTCTTTGGAGTTCATGCATCCTCTGGCAAATTGGAAAAGAAAAAAAGAAAGAAAAAGAAAAATCAACAAAGAACTCTTCTTCTCTCTGTTATCTACAGAGTTAAGTCGGCTTCCTCCCAGGAGCACACATCAGAACAGACTGTCAAGGCCTCATCAGGAAAGGAGACCTTTCTGCAGCAGAGCTACCCGGAACATGTTTTGCATAACAATATACCCAGAATTTTAACTGAGTACTTTTCCCCCAATTCCTTACGGATTCATACAGCTGACAGCTTGGCACAGCATGTTAATATCTGTTTTCGATCCAACACAAACTGTACCAGTGCCTCATGTTTATACACCCCATGAATTTCTAAGCAACTATGCAAAAACAAAGAACTCAGAGAACAAAGAAAAGATGCCTGTTGAGTTCTTTTACTAAAAAACAATAATCAGTGTCTCCTTTCTGCCCTCCTCCCACTCTAATTTGGTATTTGGTTTTCAGTTGTTTCTCTTTGTTCAAAGAATTTGAATTGCAACAGCTTCTTTTTACCTACTGAAGAAGGTTGTGCTCAGGGCTGGCCTCATGCACTGGTAGCTAAGAGAGCCAGATCCCATATCACCCAATGTGTGGTGGACCCAGCAGTTTGAAAACACTTTGGACATGTGCATATGTGTGCCCAAAATCTCAACAGGATTGAGAAATGGAGGCAGAAGGGATTGTGGCATGACCATCCACCATTGGAGAGAGCTTTCTCCTTTCTCTCATTTTCTGTCTCTCACTGGCAAACACCTGTGCCCTCTAGCAAATTAAAAAAAGAGAGAGATAAGAAGGCCTTGATCTAGGTAAATGCCACTCAGAGTGCTGGGTTTTCCAAAGATAAGGAGCGTACAAAAGAATGTAAACCAATGTGCTACTTCCTTTTTTCATTTTAAAGAATTATTTTTTTAAACTTTATTTATTTACTTTTTTTTTTTTTTTGTAAATTTGACCAGAGAGACAGAGCGACAGAAAGAAAGAGAGGGAGAGGGGGGAAGTGAGAAAGCAAGCTATCAGGTCTGGGACTCGAATGGCGGTTGGCCATGTGGGAGTCTGGTGCGCTTAACCACCACGCCACCTGCCAGCCCCACTACTTCCTTTTTCAAAATGTCCTGCTATTAAAATTAACAAACAAACAAAAACAAGCGAAAAACCAGGTCAGCTAAACAATGTGCTTAGTACTAAAGTTGACGTACATCCTGGCAGAATCTTTTCATGGACCGGTAACAAAGAGATTGGCACACTGAGACCAGGTGGTGGCACAGTAGTGGCACTGCTGGACTCAGATGGGAAAGGTCCTGGGTTCAGCACTCAAGACCTCCCTGGTTACACCAGATGTACGTATGCATGCCAGATCTGGGCTTGCTGATACTGGGGGTGGACCATGACATCATGACCCGGTGGCCTGGTACTAAAGGGAACTGAATCCCACGTAGCCAAAATGGTGTGGTTCAAATTTCAGCCCCAGCAGCTTGAAAAACTGAGCTTATGTGTATGCATCTCCCAAATCCTGACAAGATGGAGAAATGCAAAAGGAGCTACAGCATTAACCATGCCCCACTGGGAGGATAATTTCTCCCGCTGCCTGTTTTCTCTCATCTCTCTAGTGAGTGCATGGGCCCTCTGGTAAATCACACTCCAGAAAGCACTGTTCTAGGTTACTGAACTTCTCATCTGCCTGAGAATGTACTAAACTGACATTTACTATTGAGTTTTGAGAGGTTTTGGCCACCTATTATCAGCATCCCTATTAATGCAAGGCACAGGTTAAAATGCGAACTGGGGTCCAGCTGCTATGGCACAGAGATCATGCAAGTGCCTGCAAAGCTGGAAGCCATATGGCAGCGATAGGTTGAGATCCCCAGGTTGGCCTGAAATTATACCAGGTATGCATGTGTGGGTACCCGGAATCCTGAGAAACTGGTAAACTAAGAAAAAGGAAGACAGCTTGACAAGTCCCTGTCAAAGGTGTCTCTCACTCTGGCTCCTCCCACCCCAACCCTTCCTCATGTGTGCATGCACTAACATTTAAAAAACAAACACACAAAAAGAATACAAAGGGGAAGAGGAGATAGGAGTAGTCACTCCCAATATTCTAACACTTACCAGTCTGGACAAAGCTCTGGACCCAGCATAGATTATACCCACAAACAGCACTGACGCAGGAAGCCACCTCAAAACATCAGATCTAGAGAGAGGGATATACTTTATGTTAAAAAAAAAGACCTAGCTAGAAGGGCTGACTCTTCATATGCTCCAACTACAGCAAAGGGAATTGTCTAGACATCTCTGACAGACTTGTTAAGCAAAATATGGGCATATCCATTTGAAAGACTGAAAAAGCAGAAGCCATCCTACCTCTAAGCCCTGTCACTTTGCCACCTGCCTGGCATTGCTGATCCTAGAGGTGGAAATGTAAAAGGCCTTGTCACAGGCTGGGAGACAAAGAGGTCTTATTTTTCTTAAGAGCATTATATATTAGTTTTTAGATTTCAAGTAGGCCAGAAGTTTTGAATCTACACCAAATTTTTTAAAATAATCTTTAAAAAGGTTATTTACCTAGAATTATATATATCAAAAAGACACCACAGTCAACATTTATTGAGTAAACTTGCAACAAACCAGGCAATATGCTACATGTATCTTTTAAAAATCTGTACAACAGGGGTCAGCAGGTGGTGTGGCGGTTAAGGCACTGGACACCCACATGGCCAACAGCAGTTCAAGTCCTGAACCTAGCAGTTTCAAAATAACTCCGGGCAGCCACAGAGTTCTCCACCCGACCCCTGCTTTTCTCTGTCTGTCCTTTCTCAGTCCACAGCCCTTCCCCTCTGGATACCCTATCTCTTAGTCCTAGGGCTGGGGCATGTAATGCCCGAACAGGGACCCGAGTACAGAAGATAAAACAAGTGGAAACTCAAGAGTTTGGCGGGAAATAAGAGAGTAAAGTAAAAAGAAAGTAGAGAGTAAAATAAGGAGTGGATGTACAGTTCAGCTGGGTGTAAAACAGGGGAACCTCTCGGAGAGAGAGAGGAAAAAAAAAAAAGAATGTTGGGTATGTGTGTGTGCATGCCCCAAATCGTAAGACGTGACTAAAGAAAAAGGGATTACAGCGTGGCCATCCTCCCTGGGAAGAAGGTGATTTCTCACTTTTCCCCCTCATTCTCTAGTGCATACACCCTATGGCAAAAAAATAAAAACTAAGGAGAAAGAAAATCTAGACAACAATCTTCTGAGGAAGGTATTACTACTACCTCTTTGTGCAGATGAAACTGAGGAACAAAGAATTTTAAGTCATTTGCCTATAGTTAGTACGTCTGATAAATGGCACGGGCAGAATTTGAATGCAGGTCTCTTTGGCTCTAAAACCTCACTAGTTTTTTAGACCAGGCTTCACCATGTCAAGAATTTTCTGCCTTAGCCTCCCAGCTGAGACTATAGGCATGTACCACTACAGCTGGTTCTTTTTCAGACCAGATCTCACTATGCTGCCCAGGCCAGGCTTGAGCTCACGATGCTCCTGCCTCAGCCTCCTAAGTCACTGGAGTTACAGGTGTGCGCCGCCATGCTCAACCTTTATTCTGGACCAGGAATCAAGCCTGGGCCTCTCATGTGACTCCAGCCTGTGAAACACAGGTCTTAGCAGCAAGTGCCACCACAGCTAAGCCTCAAGCCTTATTTTCCCACCATCTTTTTATTACTCTGTCCTCATGGACCTCATAATCTAATGGAAGACACTGACATATAAAGAGTTAAGCTGAAAATATGATATGAGTTTGCTCTGATAGCAGACCAAGCAGCTAAGTATCTGAAGAATATTCTCTGTTATCACCAGTCCCACTAAATAACAGATGCCTGCAGCCTCAGCACAAAAGTGAACAGAGAAAGGAGGATGCCATCCTCCATCCCAATGGGTCACAATATTAAGCTCACATGAGCAACAGAGACAGGATACAGGTCCATGACCAGGAGGAAGAAGCCCAGCAGACTGCTGCAGAGGAAGGAGGGGGCATTGGTGAAATAGCAGCTAGTCTAGCTGTAGGGGGACCAGGACTCTAGAGCCAAAACAGTCATATCTTATTCCCTCTCAAAATAAGCAAATAAAACTCCTGTCCAGCTCCATATGCTTAAGAGATACAAGTACCCAAGTGGCTATGGACACAAGCTAAAGAAAACACAGGTAGGGAACATCTTTGTTTCAATTCGTCTACCCTAAAATATAAAGAAATAACTTTAACTAGAAAGAACACACACAGTTTTGGTTAAGCTAAAGAGACTTCTCGGAACTGCTACCAGACAGCTGCGTGAGCGTTTGTCTTCAAATGTAGGACTATGACCCAGGCACGGGGTCAAAGCAAGTGGTGGAACTTCAGACACCTGCAGGAGAGGTAGCAGGCTGCAGAGCCCCTTCTGAGCAGTCATCAGGAGACAGCTGCCTTCCTCCAATGCACACCAGAGTTGCTTTCAAGAATAATAAATAAAGGGACCAGCAGTTGGTGTAATGGCTATGTCGTTAAGACTCCCACATTAGCTGAGCACGGTTCGAGTTCCGGACCCAGTGGCTTAAACTCATGCCCAGCGCGTGTGCGTGCGTGCCCAAGATCCTGGGAGGAGAATGGAGGAGAAGGGATTGTGGCGTGGCCATCCCCCCTGAGGGATGATTTCTCACTTTCTATTTCTCTATCTCTCTCTGTCTTTCTGGCGAGTGCATGTGCCCTATAGCAAAAACCTCTCAAAAAAAAAAAAAAAAAAAAAAAAAAAAGAATGATAAATATGTGTGCCTGAAAACAGGTACAGCAAGGCAGGTGTGAAAGGATAGGGCTAAATGGAAAAGGAATAAAGAACCAAAGGGGCTCTGGACTTGTATTGTTTGAAAGTATCCAGGTTCTTATTTCACTTTTAAGAATATACTTCAACTGAAAGTCAGAGAGCACAGGAGAAGTGTAGTTTATGTAAGAAAAGACCTGAGGGAGCACCAGTCAACAACCCACACACAGGTGCAAATTCTTAACAAAAGATTGGTAAACTAATGCATATTTATGTGTCTTAAATGAACACAAATAGATTATTTCATCTAAAGAGGATTCCCTGATTATATTCCAAATGACCCACTGTCTGATAATGAGTCAGATAGTGGAAGATATTATTGTCTCCCTCACCCTCAAACACAGTATAAGTCTTACAAGGGTGGGAACTGTGTTTTCCTCATATAAAATACATGTAAAATACTATATTGATAAATGCTACAAAATAGACCAAATGACTATGCTATAACCACAAAAGCTCTGCCTTAATCAGTAGTAATTTTAAAAAAATGTTTTTAAACTTCCCCAGATATGTGATGTTTGAGATAAAAATCCAAAGTTTAAACTAGACATAGGAGATGGGGGAAGGACAGCGCAAGGGACACACGACATTACAGACAATTTAAATATAGCATGCGTAAAGGTCCTATGGGAAAAGGAGTTTGGAGGATGAGTGTAGCTTGAGTAAGGGGAGGGACAAACCCAGAGGTAAAAAAAGGTATAACATGATCTGATTTGCATATTGCTCTGGGGCTAGCAGATGACATGGTGGTTGGGGCACTATACTCTCACATGGTCAACCATGGTTCAAATCCCAGACCTGACAGCTTGTTTTCTCATTTTCCCTCTCTCTCTCTCTGTCTCTCTCTGGTCAAATAAAATAATAATAACTAAAATTAAAAATTAATTATTCTTTTTAAAAAAGGAAAGAAAAGGTGCTCTGCCTACAGTATAGATAAGAGATTGAAATGGGGTTAGGATGGTATCCTAAGATGGGAAAACTGGAACAGTTCTGACTGGAGAAAATTGTAATTCAGTCTTATAAATTATGGAATAGAGACTTTTCGGGGACACAAACAGAGATGTCAGGACATAAGGACCGGGGGATCCTTCCCATCATCTAGTGAGCAAGATGTACTATTAAATATGTCTTATAGGGGCCAGCAGGTGGCATGGTGGTTAGGGTGCTGGATTACCACATGGCTGACCACAATTCGAGTCCTGGACCTGTGGCTTGAAAAACATGCCAGGTGTGTGTGCACGTGCAAGCCTAAAATCCCAAGAGGGATTGTGGTGTGGCCCTCTCCCCGAGGGTCATTTGATTTTTTTTTTTTTTTAATTCCTTACTCCTTTTCCTTATCTTTTAGTTTGGGGAATAAAACCCAAGTACTTTTTTTTTTTCAAACATAATTCTCCCTTTTGTTCATTTTTTTCAAAGTTTACTGATTTACTACTTCTGTAAAGGAGGGGGAAAGATAAAGAGGCACGCATCTCAACAGAGTCTTTACAATGAGACCCTCTGCCAGCCTTATCCAGCCTAGATTACAGGCATGCAAGTACCCAGGATGTACAGGGAGGCCCAGGGTGTGATCTGAGATTTTTCCACGTGGGTTCAGTTGTTACTGCCACACCACCTTATGGCCCCATTTTGTTCACTATTAACAACAATAAAAGCCATCAGCAGTTTGGTTAACACTTTGTCACAAACTTATTCCTCACTGCTATGGTCTGGAAGTATTTCCCAAAAATTCATATGTTGAAATCCTAAACCCAAAATTGATGGTTTTAAGAGGTAAAGTCTTTGGTGGCTGATGAGGCTATATGGGCAGAGTCCTCATAAATAGACCTCAAAGAGCAGCCTTGTCCCTTCCACCATGAGAGGACACAGTGGGAAGACACTGTCTATACATCTGAAAATGGTCCCTTATTACACAACAGATCTGATGATGCTTTGAACATCCCACCTTCCAGAGCTCCAAGAAATCTATTTCTGTTGTTTATAAGCCAACCAGTCTACAATACTTTGTCATAGCAGTCCAAATGATCTAAAACATTCATTAACTATTTATTAAACACTTATTTTATTCCTCTAACTGGTTAATGAAAATGCAACTCTTAATAAGACAGACTAAATCCCTAACTTCATGAAATGTACAAGCTAGTGTAAGAGTCAGGCAATAAATAGCTTGTAGCAATCATGGGAGGAGAGAGAAGAGGTAGGAAGGGGAGTGAGAGAACCAGTTACTAGGAGTGTAGTCAGTGACAGCTACATTGACATAATTTGAAGAACTACTGACACTTGGGGCTCAAAAGTAAGAACTTAGCAACAAATAAAAACAGACTGTAGTGTAATGTCCGTGATGTAAAATGAATGTTTACAATC